GCATAACATTGTTGATTTGCGTTCGGTCTGTAATTTCTGGATTATTTTCCATAGGTATGCATGCTACCTAAATCTAGTGGTATCATACCTCTAATAGAGATTTCTTGCTGGAAACGACACTGTGGTCACACCCTGTCAAGAACACTTCTTGTGTCCTGCAGGTGTAAGAGGAAAACGGGAGCTTTCTTACCTGGACCTTATGTACTTGTGTACATGAAGAACGGTTGCCTAATCACACTGCACCTTTTGTAGGCAGAGGCTGGAACTGTCATGGCAGGTAGAGCCAAAAAGGCAGTGTGTCCAGAGGTGTGAAAAATGGCATAGACAACCTTCTGCCTTGAAGGTGGAAACGTTTATATGTACACACAGAGAATATGTGCATGTCTAACGCACACTAAAAGGTTTGTTCATTGACTTCCAGAAACAAAGCCTACAGACAATGCCTAGATTTATATCAGATAAGGGATTTTTCTTTGGACATAGCTGTCCAGCCAGGTACAAAAATATGGCTATTCTCCTTCAAGTAAGAGGAGTAGAAGTGCAGTTATATTTGACAGTGACCCCCTCCAAGACAAAAAGACAAAGAACTAGACACTGTTCTGTGACATTTAACTCAGCAAGACCATGATTCCCACATGCAGAAGTGCAGTGGGGACACCTCAGACCATCAGCCGTGTCTTCTGCTGTGGCAAAACATAGCAGCTCTCAAAGGAGGATTCAAGAGGTTGAGTCCTGTGAGTCAGTCTTGTTGCCCCTCGCTGTAAATCTGGACAACGATCTAGATCTCTGCAGAGTGATTCAAGCCCTAATGATGAAAAGTTTCACATGAGAGCAAGACATTACTGTAGCGGTTGCTGAAACAACACATTATCATACTTCATTTTCAGTATTTCCTGTTTATTTTGGTTAGGGAGTCATTTATCTATCTGTCTCTCCAATCAGCTATTTTCCTTCCTGTGATTTTTTTGTTGGTAGACACTCAACTTCATTTTGTGCTCTTTCCTTGTTTCTCCTGCCCACATTACTTTCTTTTATCTACCCCATGTCTTGCCTTTCCCTTCTTTATCTCAGCCCCTCTTCTTCTACAGTGGCGATAGGGAAATAGTCTGGAGACGCCAAATTCTTCCTGGGCTGTTAGCTGGCCCACAGATGTGCTCTGCTGCTAGTTGTGGAAACAGTCAAAACCAGGAACGGTATTTGAAACACAAGAGCATTTCACCTTCAACAAACAGTGCTCTGACACTGTCAACAGAAATGGTGGTGTGAACGCATTATTGCCAAGTTTCATTCTCTTCACGTGGCCTCTGGGTAAGTTTAACAGTTGATACATGTAAAATTAAAGTGACAATTTAAAAGCCTGTTTGCAGCTTTCTGGCATGAACGAGAGATCCCTCGAGACCAGTGTACTCCGATCACCCTGCACACAGAACTTCAATTGACAGAGTAAATTGGTAACGAAGCACATAGGACGCAGCGCAAGGGCAAGATCTGAACACTGGGGAAGACCGAGGTGGGAGATTATGACAATTTAATAACAAGCAACTTTTCCATTTCACCTTCTCTCAGCCGTTTCCACTCATGCAAACGGCACCAACCCTTGGACTGAGACCAAAGTATAAACAGATCACCAATTTCAATAAAAGCTTGAAAATTGAATTGCAGCTTTGCAATGCAGATAGCTCTGCTATCCTGTGAGAAGTGTGAACAGAATCTGCAATTTCCAAACTTAAACACGGCGGTCTCCTCTCCTCCATGCAGAGGAGCGCCTGTGCTGTTGCTAACCTGTGGTTAATCGAACCCTCCGGAGATGGGGCAGAGAGAGAAGGAAGAAGAAAGCGCAGCCCAGGGCAGGATCCCAGGGAGGGGAGGTGCCACACGGCTACAGAGAGGGCACAGGTAGCCTGGGCAGAGAAGGGAGGCAGGAATACGAAGGGTTGCTGTCTGCAAGTGCTTTCACTTACTCCTCTGGCTTTTAGAGTGCACACCAGGAGGTAATGGCATCTCTTCAAAGCTTACCAAGCTCGGCTGCACTCCCTCAAAATTTAAAAGCTCTTCAGGAGTGAACATTCCGCTCACAAGGTTGTAATTACTCTGATGTTTCCAAAATCTCACAAGGTTTCCACGCAAAGATTCTCCTTGATTGAAATGTTACAGACATCTGATTTTAAGGAAAATAAAACCAAAATTGTAATCACCCTAGCTCCTCTCCTCCCTGCAATTTAAGGAGATATTTCTATACGCATTAATAGAAATGCTTTTGCAACAAAAATAAATGTGCATCATTTAATGTGTATGTGCATGTTTACACTAAAAACCTGCAAATCAGTTGAAACGTGAGTCCCGTTTCCAAAAACGAAATCACCAATTTCAGACTCCAGCTTCTACTCAGCAATTTGCCCATTGACTGATATACGCAGTCAATTTTTATTTAAGATCATTAACTCCAGCTATACTGGTGCAGACTAAGGTCCATTTTTCAGGCAACGCGTTCATCACGTAGGTACAATGACAACAGACCCAGCACCCCACGAATCGGTCTTTGGCCGGTTGTCATTTGTCACCCCGTACTCCCCAGCACGGCGGTTCGATGCCTGGAGCGAGCCCTGCTTCTCCCGCTGCCCCCAGCGCGGCCTCGGCGCGCTGCTTCGCACCTCTCAGTTACTTCAACGGTAAAGCTGAGAAATGTTACCCACCGGTTTTGTGAAACACTCGAGGCATACCAATGAAAAGTGTTACCTGAAGGGGTCATTTGTACTGAGGAGCAGCAGCAGCCCGGCTTGCTTTCATTCCAGGCAGGGTTTCTGCAGCCGTCTTCTCGAAAACCTGGGAAGAAAGTTAGCCCGCACATGGAAGGAAGAGCCGCAGAAAGACGGAGTCCTTTCCTGCCACTGGAAACCCTCAGCCTGTCAGCCTTGTCGTGACTAACGTAAGCGACGTGAGTTTAAAAACGAGTGTTTCAACGCTTAAGCTACTGCGTCAGCCTGCCTCCCGACGCCCCGTTCCGAGCCCATATGTTCCCAATATTGACCTGAAGGTTTCAAACCCAAGCTTAGTGGTTCTTCTGAGGGCTGCAGAGAGGAACAGGGCTGCTTTCACTCTACCCTCTGTCATTTGGATACCTCAAGTCAAGAGGAAGCAGCAATGCTGGGGGTTAACCCAGCACTGCAGGGTACCATACGGTACGGGACATCCCTGTGGTCAGTCTGGGTCTGCTGTTTGGGCTGCATTCCCTCCCTGCCTCTCACCCGCCCTCAGCGTACTCGCTGAGGAGGGGACGGCACGATAAACAGAAAGCTTTGAGTCTCTGCAGGCACTGCTCAGTACTAGCTAAAACATCCCTGTGTTAACAACCAAGTTTTTGTCACAAATCCAAACCACAGCACCATACCGGCTGCTGTGAAGAAAATTAACTCTATCCCAGCCAAAACTAGTACAAGCAAGTTGCATTAGCTCCTACCCCCAAACAGCTATTCTCAGAGTAAATTCCTGACAAAGCAATGTTTGTCCGACTCACAACTATCCCAAATGGTACCGTTTTTCTCCGCACATTTGGAATTCCCATTACATAAAGAGCAGGGTATCTTGCATTAACTGCTCCCATTTCAGCAGAAACTTCAATGATTCTCCCACAACAAAACTCTGTTATTATGTCATGACTGAAGGGGTAGAAGTCGTTAACTACCAAGGTACCTTGTATGATTTTTCAGTCATTCTGAACTCAGCAAGGAACATAAATCAACTTGCATTGTAGGCACACAGCTCCTCAAAGGCGTTTTGTGCACTAATGACATAAATTTTTAACTCGTGTTTTAGTTTTCATTCCCTTACATAGTCAAATAGTTCCCTGGTTTGTTTATATAATCCTTTTTTTGCCTCTGAGAAATGTATGAGGTCTAATGTACCAAATGACAATGGATTTGTACACACATCCCCCCCCCCTTTTTTTTTTTTACACTGGAAAGAAGAAAATAACAATCAAAGCAGTTTAAGTGTACAACTTTCTACAGGTTACATTTATTCAGCTGGACCAATTAAGAAAAGCTAAATCCCAATTAGTAAGAGTTAAAAAACATGTTTGTCATTTCTGGAATAGTAATTAGAGAAGAATTAAAATTTCTAGATGAGAAAGCTCCTCCTCTATGCCTAATGAAACACACTAGAAGAAATTGTGACCTTTTAAACAGCTAGAAATTAAAAGATGGCATTAATACTTCCATAGAAGCTACCAAAAAACCCGCCAAAACAAATGAAACAAACAAAATCACGAACAGCTGCTTTAATGTTCTACTTCAGAGAGTATTCCCATGCTGAATATACACTGAAAACAATTTCTTGTGGCACATCCAAGACCTTCTGAAGTTATTAATATTCTGCCATCAGCTTCAAAGGGAACAAGATTTGCCTTGCAAAATAATCAAGAGAGCTGCAACTATTTACAGGCGATTTAATTTATGGCAGCTTTGGTTGCAACAATTCCGGAAGACAACTGTATGAGTAAAGTGTTCTGGTAAGCACCTAATTCAAACACTTTATATTTAAAGATAATGAACTCTCCAAATTTTAAATAAGCAGGTTGTAACATTCTATACAAAAAATATTCCTCTGAGGAGAATGGGGGTGGGACATCTTTAATATGTATCCAGCATACACATTTAACTATTACACATACAAAAACGCAGTAAATTTTATAAAGAAATTTATTGTGCAAGAATGATTTTCATGCTCATTTACAATGAAATAATTAGTTTTAACAAATAATCATGCCATTGCTTAATTTCAACACTAAGCAGAATATTTACATTCAAGTTTACATGTTTGTTCAAGTTCCACATATGGTATTGTCAGAATTAAATAAGAATGCATCTTCAAATCAAACTTTGCATTTTTTACATTAGAATATCACCGCCTTTATGACATTTACTGGAAATGACAAATTTCCTTTCTTTGCAGTACCCTAATTTCCCAGCTACTGTACTGGGGGGGGGGGGGGGGGGAAAAAAAAAAAAAGCAGACCAACCCTGCCAATATGCTGCCCTGACTATTACATAAAGTTAAAGGACAAAGTATAGTGATTGTCTTGGATTTTGGCTATTAATGTTACAGGGAGATACTGATTTTGAAGATGCAAACCTAAACATTCCCACATTTAAATAATCTTTATATTTGGCAAAGACTATCTCACTTTTTCTGTCTTCATGTTGTGACATCTCCTCCAGAACTTGTTGGTTGAGAAACAACCGTAGAAGGTTGTACTGGTAACATTTCTAACTCAGATTCACGTACAAAGATGACCGCATCACCACTGACATTTATTAAACACTGAGCCTGAAAAAAAAACAAAAAAACCAAAAAACAACAACAATACACAGTTACCAAACATTAAATAGTAACATATTTTATGTTTACTTATATCAGCAAGATAGAACTACACAGATAATAAGAAAGTCGACAGAGATCAGGAGATGCACAAATTATTAGAATTTATTAGTGAGGCAATCTATGCCATATTTTCTTTTATATCCACTCACTTGTGTGCTATCAAACATATAGACAGATTCTCGTAAGACCACCACAAATGAAATATCTGGGTAGCTGTACTTGCTTTCACTATTGTTTTGAACATATTTTGTGTACCAAAAGAACCATATTCTGTTGTCATCTTTACTAATAAAGTTTGTCCCTTTATGTCCAAAATAGAGCATTTTATATCAGCAACTCCAGGTATTTTCATGTGGATTTAGGATAAAAATCCTAACACCACAACATCAGAAAAGCTAAGTTAAGTTCAGCACTACTGTTCAACTGTTTCCTGCAATTTACTTCATTCTAGTACACTTAGTATTTTTACCCATTTGGGTATTTATGAAGCATATTTGTAATTTTGTGTTAACTCAGGTGTCCAAGAATGCTCTCGGCTTCTTTAAACAAAGATAACAATGAGAGATCCAGAAGCGTTATGCAGACATGGCTCTACAGGGTTGCAGTTTTTTAAGTGTATAAAATGTGTATTTGTGTCATACTAATCACAATAGCACTGTTATTTCATAATTTACCTGATTTTTGTTTGGATTCTCCATAAAGACACACTGCTTCATTATGTATGAGACAACTGCATTCCCCCCTAAAGCTGCAACGTGAGCTCTCACCATTGCAAACACTTCAGCAATAAACGCGTGGAGAAAACCACTGACACCACCCTCCTAAAATTTGGGAAAACAAAACAAAACAAAATTACATTTTATGTTATGTATAGCTACAAGATGCTGAATACTTTTCCTACATTTTTATCAGCTGAATATTTCAGTGAATCCTAAATGGTATGTTGTACAGAACTTAAAAGCCATGCACTGTTTAATGGGTCACAGTTAAAAATCAGACCAATGGAACTTACTGTTTGAGGAAAAGAATCACAAGTAGCTTATTCATTTGTCACTAGTATTCTTTTCAGTCAGTATATTACAGACACTTTTCAGATATTCCTACACCTCTGCAGGAACATTTAATATTCCAATGACAGTTGAATAATGACTTTTTTTCTTTCATCAGGAAGGATACTGCCCATTTTTTTTTATAACTGGGAAGCAGATAAAGAATAATTTCTACTGAGGATTAAAAGAGATTTAGACTCCTTGGAAATTACTGGTAAGGAGTGGCCACCACCTTTGGTTGCTGCAACTTAATGTATGCTAATCACTGTCATTAGTTCTCAACATTCACTAAAGAAATGATCCCTCAAAATACAAGTAAGCAAGGGACAGCGCAGAGACTTGACAAGCAAGCTATTCAAGCTCCCCCCCCACCCTGAAGCCTAAAAGAACTTCTAGCCATCCCTTTTCATTAAGTTTTTTTGACTTGATGGCGCTTGTGGGGGATTTTTACTTCTTTGGTGCCAAGCTGAATAATTTAAATTGCTCTGAAAGGAGGAGAAGGAAAACAGTGAAATATGTTTTTTTTCCTAAATAATCCTTATGAAAGAATGTGAGCAACTACATTGTGGGGAAAAACCCACCTCAAAAACCAGGCAACCAACCAAAAAAAAAAATCCACAGAAAAAAATGAGGAAAGAAACTGATGAAAGAGAGCTCACTATTGGTTCAAAATACCTGTAAAATTTCAAAATTAAAGCGAAAGGCAAGACCACTAGACTTCCAACATGCGTGTGTGCCACTGGAGAAGATAAAAGAGGCAGGTAGAAGAAGAGGCTAGCTAAGCTGAACTTCAACAAATACAGGCTGCCCTCATATCTACTGGGTACTATAATCTACCCCGAAGCAGACTCATAAAGACATAAGAAAACATATCTTGGATGAAAATTAACAAACAAAAGGGCAAGTATAATTTCACCAATCCAAGCATAAAGCATGAATGAAGTCAAATGCAGCCAGACATCAAAATTTCAACACAAGTCTTTAATTCCTCAAGAAATTTTGATTTTGTCCAAGTGTTTTAACAGTTACAGCAACTGACCAGGGCGGGAGGCAGTGAGGTGGAACGGATTCTGTAATATTATAAACCAAAGATAAGATTTGATGACAACAGGTAACAAAAGATTATAAATATTCACCTGTAAACGGCAAAACCTAAGAGCAATGGTTAAATTGGACTTAAAAATTATCATTAACTTTTGAAGCACAGTGTCTGGTGTGTATTTCAGCTTATGAAAGCATTCATAGGGCCTCAATATGCTGTAAACCACCATAAGCAAAATACAAAGCAATACAAACACAAATGCTGCTAACTGTTTCCCTGCAGAATCTGAAACACATTGCTTGAGTCTGATATAATGACCACTTTGTTTTGACTCCATTACAGCCTCAGGGCAATACTGTGCAATTAGTATTAAAACTGGTTTGTGACTCAGCCTATGCAGATGAAATTAATTTAAATTAGCTGCCCTGGGTGCTGGAAATAGCACACTGACAGTATCACAGAAACTGTACAACCGTCCCAACTTCATGGAGGAGTTGAATCAAATACTTGAGCAACCTACCTCTGCTGGGATCTGCTATCATAGATACCAAAGGTTATCAGCTAGTTAATTTGTATTTACAGAAGCTGCAGTTAGTACAGAAATGTCATGTAACCATTTCCCTGGTCATACCATACACATCCTTTTGAAAATGCTGTCCTTTTCACATCGATTTCTGAAGTTAAAAGGGGCCATAACTTGCAAGATCCAAACAAAATGTTTTTTGATCAAAGTTTCTCTAGAGAGCTCGCAACGCATTTTTATGAAAGCTGATCATTTTTATTAACATCTACTCTGTAATTTTATCAATGTGTAATTACCAAGAAACGGCATACTCTTTAGCACTAACAAACCACCAAGAGGTACATTCTATTTCTGTGGCCAGAAATTGTAGCAGAAGGATGCAGCTACTTCCCAAAAGGACAGGAAAATGATAAGGAACATGTCTTGCATTTTGGCATTCTCAGAGGACTATCTGTTGTCCAGATCCAGACTGGAGATCAGTGTTTGAGTATGACTAGCTACACCCTCTAAGCTGGTTGTGTTGTTATATACTCTGTGGCACATCTTAGACATTCATCACACAGAGCTATGTTACTGAGAACACTCAGCATAATATAGTTATATATGATACAGGAAACCTTCTGTTAACCAAAGAATTCCAAAATACAAATACACTGTGAAAGTTCATCATTGAGTTTGCTAAATGAGAGAAGAATGGATTATTTTTATTTTTTTTTTTTAGCATTTAAATTAATCTCAGTTTTAGGTTCAAATGATCTCAGATCACTGTTGGTCAAAGACCCATTTTCTCCATATAGTTCTGTTTAAGAACTCATTGGTTTAGCATTACATCCAAATTCAACAGCAATCGCAACAGTTAAGTAACCCCTTCCTAACACTGCCAAACACAAAGCAGCTCTATATGCTTAATGACAAGAACGGTGCAATGTGACTTATTCCCCATTCAGCACCTACCCTCATGTGACAAAAGCTCTTAATCCCTTGCTGTGCCATACCTCAACTCAAACCTCTTCAGATATTATTATTTGATTATTATAATTAACAAAAAGTGCTAATCCCTGATATACAGCTCACCTCACGCAAAGAAGTGGTTTCTCTTATAAAAAACATGTTGATTATCCCAAGATACTTGGTTATTTTTGCCCCAGGTAGAAAAGAAAGAGGTGTCATCTTAACAACTGAGACGGTAGAATTGGTGCATGACGGAACAGAACGGTGCCGTAAGTATCCCTCAGCCAATGGACTTGCTTTATCAAGTGAAGCAGCTAAAAAGATGGGGAAAAAGAAGAGAAAGTAACTATAAAGTAAGATCGATTACTGTTTCTCAAAACACAAAAACTCTTCTTTATGGTTTCCAAATAGCTTGGTGACAACATTCAGCTGCCTGTGATGCTCAGCCATATCATGTGAGAAAGGAAATTATCATGCAATGCATGCAAAAGAAGACAAAAAGCTGAAATGGAATTTATTTGGAAGAGTGGCATTCCTGCAAAGGAAAACATCGAGGCAAGTAGCTGCACATACAACAATCAGTTATAAAGTGAAGGTAAAGAAAAAGTGCCAACATTTTGAAATACGTATTCTGCTGGAGGAACAAATTATAGGAAGTGTGAAAGTTGTTGTGTTTCCCCAGTGCAGCATTTTCCATTAAAACAGATATTAATCTCTGCTAATTTAAGCAAGATAGTCAGACCTGTGGCCAAAGAACTACTGAAAAATAACTCACCACTTGCTAATTTAGTGACCATTGCCTTGACTGTCACCTTGGTGATTGCTTCCTGTTTCTCACCAAAAATTTTCCAAGATCATACATACACCTACATCCATGCAGTGTATGTTATATAATTAGTAGGCGTACACATTTATTGATAACTAATTTTTACTAAGTGAACAGAAATACTGTACTTTGCTTTTTATGATATTGGTTCATAAACCCTATATTAGCTTACAAAGACAGTAACAATGTCGGCAGTTTTCACACTCAGGTATTCATTCTACACGTGATCTGTAATACTATTGCTGGGCAGGAAACTCCACTATTCACCACTGGGAAATCAGAGATATGTCTCAGATTATCATAACGTGGTAGAAACAGCCGCCTACTTGTCTTAATTGATCCGCGCCTTATGGTCTGAGCTTTCAGTTTAATGAGCTCTATCCAGCTGTTGCATCTGTCTGCAAAGGAACTGTAATCAATTGACGTTGCTGAAAACACAGACAGAAAAACAAAAGAAAAAACAAAGAAAAAAATATGGATGATGTCTCTTGCTCATCTCAATGCTCCTTTTGAGGAAGCAATTATCTGTGTCTGAGAGAGAACAAACATCCCTTTCCAGGTCTGTTTAAAGGAAAAGTTACAGTATAGGTTTGGACTTGTCCAAACCAGTGTACCGATTTCTGGTGATGTCCCAGCTGTGAACCAACTGCCTGACTGGGACTTCATCACTGAAAAAACATGCAAATACAGTCATTAATGACTTATGCTAGATTATTTTTTTTTAATCTCATTTTAGGTATTAAGTTCTGGCTTCTTTAATTTTATTTAAGCCTTTTTTAATTTTAATTTTCATTGCTACTCTTTTCCTCACTAAGAGCTGCTGATCAGGATTTAAACTTCCTAACTATCTTTATCAACAGCTAACCTACAGACTGAAAAAAAGCTTTGGTGATGAGGATAAGAGTCACAAGCTGAAACAACACCTCAGTTTTAAACACAAATTAATTTTCCTTACAAAATGCTGTCCTCCTTCCCCCAACATCCCCCCCCCCCACAGCCACACACCCCCCCCCCTTTATTATTACAATAAGAAGTAGAGTTGTTTCTGCTATGACTTCTGGTATTAGTTGCAAAAGTGTTTGCGTATCTTAAAAAAAACGTTTTGCAAACACCGTTTCTTCGTTTTTCTGAAGAAACGGAAGGAACACATGCTAACTTCAAATTAAGACAAGCAAAAAAGCTCTCTCTCAGGGAACTAATTTTCTGTCAGATAAAGTGATATCAGTATATCTGACAGAGACACTGTTGTTATTATTAACAAATCTGACTTTTGTAATTACACAACACATCAAAATATTATGATATCATTAAGCCACACCAGAGCATGCATTCTCAGTTAACTAGTAAACACTTCCTGGATTAAGACACATCCAAAAAGAGTATACCAATATCCCAAGAATGCTCATTCTGTTCTGGCATATGGCTAAACTAAGTAAACTCACCTCTCTGAGCAGCAGGAATACCTGTGTGGGAACTTGCACCCTCCAGGACTTCTAACAAGACAAAATGAATTCCATTCAGATAATGTATGAGCAGAGTCATGCAGTAGAGGACAACAGCTTTCTTCTTACAAAAAAAAGTTTTTAGAGTAAAATGAGTCTCCTGGTTTCAGCTGGGATAGAGTTAATTTTTTTTCTAGTAGCTGGTATAGTGCTATGTTTTGGGTTCAGTATGAGAAGAATGTTGATAACACACTGATGTTTTCAGTTGTTGCTAAGTAGTGTTTAGTCTGAAGTCAAGGATTTTTCAGCTTCTCATGCCCAGCCAGCAATAAGGCTGGTGGGGCACAAGAAGTTGAGGGGGGACACAGGGAGGGCAGATGACCCAAAACCGGCCAAAGGGGTATTCCATACCATATGACGCCATGCCCAGTATATAATCTGGGGGGAGTTGGCCCGGAGGGATCACCGCTCAGGAACTAACTGCGCATCGGTTGGCGAGTGGTGAGCAATTGCACTGTGCATCACTTGCTTTGTATATTACAATCCTATCATTATTATTATTGTAATTTTATTGTTGTTATTATCATCGTTGTTATTATTTTCTTCCTTTTTGTTCTATTAAACTGTTCTTATGTCAACCTATGAGTTTTACTTCTTTTTTCCCCGATTCTCTCCTCCATCCCGCTGGGTGGGGGTGAGTGAGTGAGCGAGTGGCTGCGTGGTGCTTAGCTACTGGCTGAGGTTAAACCACAACAATGAGAAAAAAAATCTGCTATATATAGTAAACTACATAGTTTGATAGCACATAATAAATTGGTATAAATAATTAACTTTACTAAATCTGTCTTGCAAATTATATGATAATTTATTAAAGGTCATTACTGTGTAAGGTTGTACACAAGTATTTTTAAAATAACAATCTTACAGAAAAGTATGTAAAAAAGGTATTGATATATTAAATAAGCTGCTAAGTAAATGTAACTACAATGAAACCTCGAGTCTACTTGTGAAGAAATGACAGATGAAGTAATTATCTAGTTGAAAACCTCTGAAGTGATGGTACAGTACAATACAGACTGTGAAGAACATCAGGAAAAGTTATATACGTGAACAGGCTACCCTCTACTGGTCAGTGCCCATTATACAGGTAGTACAGTCAAGTAACTGTGAAAAAGACACCAGTCAGGAATTTCTGGATAGCTCCTCTTTTTGAAAATGAAAGGTTAGTAGTATCAGAATATGATCAATTAAAAGTTAAGCACACAAAAATGCATAAAAATTAGGAAAAAAAATACAAAGCAATAAGAATATTATTGCTGAAATTAAACTGACCTCTGAAAATACAAGTAAATGTGGTAGGCACCTTCCTTTATACAATTTATGTAATGGGCAAAAAAGGGAGCTCTAACATTTTAGTAAGAGAACATTTACAGTAATTCACAGATACTAAATTTCCTATCACTAGCCATTTTGGTGGGTAGGTAATCCAACAATGGAGAATAAAGACAGCTGATTTCAATGAATGACTACCTGATTTTTAATACAGTCATAGAAGAATTGTGACAATCATTCTTAAAATGCAGCTCTACCTCAGGTAAAATAAAGCAGCTGTTTAACAGCCAAAGTGTGCTGCACTGTACAAATTGTTTACTATGCAAGTTTAGGCTCCTTTCACTTAAAAAAAAAAAATCGCATGCAATTTTGCTCAGCTCAGCAACCAGTATTTGCTAGATAAAGTATTTCCCACAATTAAAACTATGAGATTAATTATTTGAGGCTGACAATACATGGAGTTATTTTATATGGGCCATTTACAGAAGCAAAGCAGTATGAGGCAAGCCTAATTATTAAGTAATTTATACTTCTTTAAGTCAAATGACACCCAACACCCAGTGGTTTGCAGCATTTTCAATACTCTAAATGCAAAGATAGAAGAACTACGGGAAATCTAGAAAACAATATATACAGAACGATTAGCCAAACCATCTTCTGTGACTCTCAAAAAATTTTACTTTGGAAGTGAACATATCCATTATGCTTAGGTAGCAAAGAATATTTAAAGCATGTGAAAGTATAGATATTTTAAAGCTACTGCAACAATGAAAGACAGAACTCAAAATCAGTAAAAAACAATAGTTCAGCATTCTTCCATTTAACTGACCTTTAGCTGGTGGGAATGGTTGAGAAGCAAGGGGATCAGAGCAAAGTTCCAATGGAAATTGTAGCTGGTCTTCATTGTCTGTAGATGCTTCAACAAAAAAACCCATACCCAGTTGATAATTAACCCCCAAAATAAGATCTGCCAGTAATAATAAGCACTACAAATTCAATTTAGTCAGGTCTGACTGGAATAGATTTTTTCAGCATACACATATGGTGATGCAGTTCTGTATAAACAGTTAGGTGTCTGACAATAAATGCAGCTGCAAAATTGAACAGAATCTGTGTTCCATTGAACAGGATTTGATTTAGTATTTTCAGGAAAAAAATATTAAGTCAATTCATGCATTTTAGATTTGATTCTGCAGTTCAATCTGAGCTAGCTATACACTACAGTAAAAAGTAACATTTGATTTATTTCATGTAAAAGAAAACAAACAATTTACTGTTAAAATTGAAGAAGTAAGGTATAACTAATGTTTTAGAAACATATGGCTCTATTCTACTACCTAATTCCATTCTTCAGAATGGAGTATCTTCAAAGTTCGGTCTAAATTCCCACACCCAGATTGCATACATACATTTCTAGCATAAGATGGTGCTTCATTAGCAAGATGACGTATGTAGACTGCAGTAGTCTCTTCTATTCCCTCCATAATACTATATGCTTCACTGATCTCCATAAATATTACTGACCTACTTAAGTGTTTTGGGGAGGTTTTTTGAAGTATTATGAATAATTTATTTTCTGCTTTCTTCAAGTAAGGACAAAATTTGCTACTTATAAGAACAAGTATCCTCTAATGACATACACCACATGTTTCCAAATACAATGGAAATGTCATCATCTGTTACACTAATTCTTTAGAGAAAAATATTCAAAAGAAAGATGGTACATGAAATAAGGAAATACCAAACATTTTTTCATGTTACTGTAAGTTTGTTTATTACATAAAGCATACACCTAATACTTGATAAGTACGTCATCCTGCTGGAGATCACATATATACCTTTAAAACACTCTATGTTATGACTTTACAATTTTATAGAACCTCCCTGTAAAAATGTGTATGTGTAACTGAAATTAAAACATAGACTCATTAGGTACTGGGGAAGAAAAAGGAAAGAAAAATATCTCTTATCTTTACATGCCTCACAACACTTACCTCTTTGCTGTGATTTTTCTGTAGGGGCTTTGTTGGCTTGTAATGCTTGGTTTTTGTCAAATGTAATTGCAACAGCTGTGACTGCGATCTGCAAATCAGAAATATATGGCATATTAGGTAACTTAATCTCTCATGCAATCTGCAAAAATAATTTTGCAAACAAGACCACTTTTTCCATAGAAAAAATAAGGGGGGTTGGGGGGAGAGATCATCTAAGTAGACATATTAAAAATCCTTCACAGCAGAGCATAAAAGGTAATACTAAGGTCCATTATTAGAACATACACCTGACAGTGTTTGTCCCACATTTATGATTTTGTTCATCAGTTCTTTCCTTCTTTCTTGGTGAAGTGACATAAAAAAGAATCATAAAAACTCATTTATTTGTAAGGGAGAGAAAGATATGTTTAATTGAACACAAGAATGCTGCTATACTTCTAAAGAAAACAATTTCTTTAAAAATAATGAAGTCTATGCATCATCTTGAAAGAGCAAGAAAAAAATTAGACAATTTTAACGACAGCATGCTTAGAAAACTAGTGTGCCGTATTCCTGTAGTGTACGTGGTAACACCTTTTAATGGATAACTAGTCAGGGCTTTTCGTTTCCTACCTAACTAAAAAGATACACACTATTAAGAGGCACTGTGCTCATGAAATGCCACGTAGTCCCATGATTCTCAAAACTGTGAACTCAGTAGGTCATCCTTTTTCCTCACTGAACATTATGGCCTTAAGTTTTACTTCAGAATTCACCAGACATACTAGTAAATCAAATCCTAGCCTAGTGTACTCTGAGCAGCAAATGTTAATTAAAGGCCAAAATTGGCATGCCTACATGCTGAAAAGTCAGAAGCAGCAGTCTACTTACCTGAACTAATTCATCCTCTGGTAGAGCCACTGTAAAATTTACATGACAAAGGCAGCAAGGAACCATAGATCGTAGTTTAAAATACAAGCTCTGTGGAAGACAAGACATTATTTGTGTTAGTCTAAAAAAACGTAAGGTTTACTTCAGAGAAATTAGAGATCAAAACTCTTTTCATAGTAGAAAACATCTAAACATAGTAATTTTTTCTTGAAGACGAACTACAGGTGTGAAAAGTCAGGATAGAATGCAGTTTTTTTATTTTTGTTTCTAGAGTACACTACCAGTCAAAGGACTCATTCAGATTCAAAAAGCTTTGGAAATTCTTAACACACTAAGGCAGCTGAATCTATCTTTAGAGCAGCTTACAGACTAATTACAGACACTTTGCAGCCTAATTCTGAAAAGTAATTATGAAGAAAATGTTATTTTCAGTATAGCCTGATTTTACTTTGCTTCCATTTGAACAATTCAAAAAACGTTTCAAATAAGATTCTTACCTTCAACAGATTCTCACAGAGATCATTAAAGTTCTTATTAAGTGTTTGATTTGTTAGGTTAATGTTGCTTAATCTGGATACTCTTACTGCTGTGAACATCTGAATTAGAAACAAAACACACTTTTTTTTTTCCAATATATGCCTGTATGTTATATTAAAACCAAAACAAATTCATAAAGAAGACAAATAATGCGTAAGAGGGACAGGGAGAAAAGGAAAAAAACGTAGCAACAGTAAGCCAAGTAAAGTGCTTATTGCTCATGAAATTTTACAAACAAAAGGCAAATTTTTTATGAACTAATGTAGACGAATATATGAAACAAGTGATTAAGCAAGATATGAAATACTCTATGTTGGTTTTGCATGCTTCATAAAGGAAGCTTTTGCATGCTTCTACCTGCTACATATTTTGTTAACTGCTGCTGAAAATTATATGTTAATCATGTACAACAATGTAGACAATAAAGGAATATCATATACAGATACACAGGCAGTACCATCTACCTGAGAGCATGCTGCTGGTGCAGTCATATTGTTTTCAGGTTTGTGCTGTGCCTCTGCAAACCAGTCTTGCATTGTGCCAGTTAGGCGTAAAAGTTCACTTAGATCTGTTTTAACTCTCTCTATATAAGACTGAATTGTGTTGTACAAATGTGACCAAAACGTTCAAACTTAATTATACATGGAATTTTTCTCTACTCACCAGATTGGATTTATCTAATTCTTATTTATCTTAACCCATTAATGTTATCATATGCAGTACCTCAGTGAGTGATCTGCAGTATCAGAGTGAGTGAGCGGCTGCGTGGTGCTTAGTTGCTGGCTGGGGTTAAACCACGACACACAGTCAACAATTTGTTTAAGAGGCTTCAAAATCTAGCCAAGCTCTTAAAAATGCCCAAAACCTTAAAGTTCATATTTGCTGTACCTATTTTCTCATTTTTGTATTTTTGTACCAGGTTCTCTATTACATAACAGCACAGAAAAACCACAAAGAAACTGGTTCTCATACCCTATTTTTCTTACAGCATCCTTTTACTTAATCTTTCAAAATTAGTGATCTCTAATATATATTTAAATTACTAAAGCATATTTCAACACAATTTGGAAAAAAAATTTTAATTTTCTTTGAATAACCTTACTTGAATTTCTGGTGTCCAGTTATTTATACCAGGCATAATTTCTGTGTTGCAACTGTAAAAACCTGTAAAAAAAACAATTGGGGGAAATCTATGCTGCACACTGAAATATAAATATATGTTTAAAGAAACATGTGACCTTACTTGACGTTTTGCAAGTATTTTCCCTCATTTGTTTTTGAATATGGAATAATATACCAGAAATAAGACCAACGTTCAAAAAACATAGCATCTGAAGAATACAATATAACATACAAAACCACACGCTTTCTGTCATTTATACTGCAGTGAAAAAATGGATAGGAAAGATGGAACTCACCACTTCTAAAACAATAACTCACTACAGAATTCTAATTCTGAGTATTTCTTCAACCCCCAAAAAGCAAGGCCAGAAATGCCATTATGCTGAGGAACTTGAGAGAGGCTACAAAGGCATGAAATACAACAGTGACAGTTACTCCCCATAGAGACTGGGTAACTCATGTCATCTGCTATTAAGACTAATTGGTGAGACAAGCTCCCTGACTGCTTCACAGAACTGCTCCTTACAGAACCCACAAAACAAAAAAACCCTGACTAGTTGGTCCTGAGCAGGGAGAAGTGTTCAAAGAGGTTTTTTAACTCTCATCAAGATATGCTTAAGCATTCTTGTAGAAAGGGCAAACACCCAAAATCCACTACTGCTCTGCCTAGTTTCTAATAGACAAGCTACGTACAAACGAGGAAACTTACTGAAAAGGTGTGACAGGAAAAGCTGAAAAGCTAACCTTTGACAGACAGATGCTTTAAAGATACTACCTAGAGACTGAGTGCAAATACGTAGTACTTACTAAGAGACCTGAAAACACACACACAAAAAAACAAAACGAAAGAAAAACAGTATAATGACTAAACAACAGGGTAAGAAAAGTTATACACAGCAAATAGGCAATGTTGAAAATCTAAAGGTATCGCTAAATGAGCACAAAAGAGAAATATCTGATAGGGCCTATGGAAGTGCACAAAATAAGATAGACAAGAAATTGTGCAGCGGCTTGCAGAAAGTATAAATATTAATAGATTTTCTTTCAGAACATCAAAAGCAGAAATCCTGTTGAAGAGCCAAGAAAGACACAGAACGAATATGCAGAGATGATAACATGATAGTGGAAAACATGCCTTTATTTTTTCCCCCCACATCGGCGTTCACCACAGTAGTGGAGATTTCCATAATAGTGGAAAATGAGTCCCTTGTTTATTTTCCATCAGAGAACCTGTCTTAAACAAAAGAGTCTAAAGGACATATTGAACAAACAGGCAAATGAAAAATAAGGATTCGTATAAGCAACAGGAAAGGCAAAAGATTAAATAGCTGACTAATTGGCATTGAACTGTAAAACTTAAAATTACCCCACTACCAGAGGAGAGGATTCTTTCATCTTCAGGTAGTGAGGTGCTTTTAGTGACTGGGACCTACTAATTTGCCTAGTAGAGATACCTGTATTACTGGCCCGTAGAAGTTACTCCAGAAAATGGAGTTCATGGGGAGATGGAAAAACAAGACACTGCATAGAAACTAATACCACTTTTCTAAGTAACAGTCACAGCTCACAAGCTGTCGACAAGCATGTAGACGAAAGGTATCTGACTAATACAGTCTACTTCGGACATCAAAAAGCATTTGATAAGATCCTTCACCAAGGACTCTTTAAGAAACTAAATATGCTGAAGGTAAGAACAGAGTACCATTGAAAGAAATGCAATCATTATAAGACTGGAAGAAGGAGGTCAAAATAAATGCTCAGTTTTCACAGTGGAGACATCTGTGACTCAGAATTGTATGCTTCAAACATATTCATAACTTATCTGCAAAAGAGGATAAAATGAGGTGACTGCTGATGGCCTTATTTTAGGGTAGTAAAATCAACTGCAGCAGGGCCTAACAATGGATAACTGATGAGGAATAAAAGATTTGGTGGTAGTAATAGGTAACTATGACGAGAATAGTTCTGAGCTCACCATTACTCAAAATAATAAACATTGATACCAATTATTAGGAAGGGAACAGATACATGCTCAGAAGAAACATGGAGAAACTCACAAACACAAGAGACAGAGGACAGGACAACCAAATGTACAGAGAAACTTCCATGTAACCGACAACTACATTAGCCTCTTATCCAGATCCAGGAGTTCCACCAAGGAGGACATTACAGATATACAACCACAAACAGCATAAAGAAGACTGATACAAAGCAATGATTCGCTGTTCTTCCTGACATAAGAAAAATGAAAAAGTGGCTGATACAAACCAAGCATAAGAAACTGGCTCTTGTATGGGTACAGATGCTGATGCAAAATTCTATGAACACTGAAGATGCACGTAGGCTCAAAATGCAAAGAGCCAAATGCACAGAAAAGTTCGTCAAAGGGTATTGTTTACAAAAACATCTTTCCGGATGCTTTTGAACTATGAACTGTTAGCATGCTATTCTGAGGGATTTTTTTTTTCCCCTCACTCTTACATTAATGTAATACACATTCTTGCATGATCCCTATCAGCAAGCAAACATTGAGTGATTCAGTACACCTCCCTCTATGTTAGGTTCTTCATTTTTAAATGCAGACAACTAGACACCTCACATGTTCTATTGCCAGCAATGCAGCCCCAACATTCATATTTGTACTGTGAAGTAAAAAGACATTGATTGTAAGTCTCATGATTGAATTTTGAAAATTATTCACTTTAATCAGCTCTATGTTCTTGAGTTGCAACACTTTTTAAAAATACATCTATAAAAACACTGAAGAAATTAGAAACTACTCTAATTGTAAAATTTCTATTATTTGACTTTACTGCTTTCTACAGAAAAAGATCAATACTGACTTGGATAAAAATGCTGTGGGTGATTTCAGAATTCCAAATAATTTTGGACTTTGCTTTTTTTAACAGCACTACAAAGGCAGTGAACACAGAGACTTAAATTGACAGTATGGTAATCACAAAGCAAGGAAAATACAAATGCACTTGTTGAACAAGAGTGCTGGAATAGCAAATTGCTCACTTTAAATAACTCCTTGGAATACAACACCAATATGTCATATTATACGGCTACAAATAACTTAAAAGACCATTCTGTTCTCTGTATTTCTACTTTCATTGACCCCCAAACCTACAAATTAGCTATTCAGTCTAAAAATCTTCAGAAACTGGTACACTAGTAGAAAAGATCTAATAGTTACACCCATATGAAGTTAACAACAAATGTGCAGCAACAGAACAAATCAGTGAACTACAAAATGCCACACAATATTTTGCTTATTTCAGTTTTCAATAAGCAACAATCCCCATAAAAGGTTTAATGACTTGTTTTTCACAGGTATATCTGAGAAGCTAAACACTTCAAGAATACTCTCCACTGTTACTCTTGAATTTTTACTTTTTTAAAATAAAACCAGTTCTATTTTGTCATTTTGAAGCCTACAGTATAAATTAGAAAAATACGTACCAGAAGGTGGTGGAACATCTGTCAGTAAAGAATGTACGTCTTCCATTGCATCAGTATCATCAATCTGGAAAAAGAAATAATCGATAAAAATCATGTTGGTGTTCCAGTCAGAAGTCTCAGAAAGATGTAAAAACTTTGTCATTAAGAGATCTATATCTGGCAGCTAAGTTGAGATTTTAAAAAAGGATTCCATCAACCAGACCTCTAAATCTTAACTACCAGCCTATGGTATACTTAAGACTTGAAAAAGAGATCCCGTAACTAAATTGTATTAAAAATAAGGCAATGTGTACAGAACACAAAGAAACTGCAGTAAATAAAGACAAGAATGATAAAGAGAAATTTTAAACTAATTTAAAATGCTGAACAAGGTTCCACACAACAACTGACAACTTCTTCCAGCTAAGGACCTATTCAGTACTAGAGCTCTCATAAGGTCTGTATTATACGGATGTGATCATTCTCTGCCTACTACAATGACACATAAAAATCTTTCCAGGACTTTAAAAACCTTACTTAGTATGAACAGTAGAAAAATCAAACAAGAAAAGGTAAATTTGGGGATTATTAGTTTTTCATATGCAAATAACCTCTACTCCATCCAATCTTTAAAGACTTTTGTTAATTTAGATCAGACTGAGACCATATCTGCCCTGCTACCTTCTGTAAATATTTCTGTGTCATGTGCCTTTAGGTTCATTCTGCCTTATTGAGCTGCAAGAGATCCAAGTTTACCTCTAACTTCCAACATTTTCTTAGCAAACATTCTGGAAATTGTTAATATTTTAACTCCAGTATAGGAGGGGTTCCCTTGTCAGATGTTGCTTCTGCTTCTTTTCAGAGTAAGAGGAGGAGTCATTTTTTTTTCCTCCCCAAAAATACAGACAGCCTTACCTCTCATAATTGCCTTCCCAGCATCTCTTAGCATTTCCTCATCGCAGCGAATTTTTTACCACTTTTTGTTACATATTTCCAGTGAACAATGACTTTACTCTTGAAAGAGTCAGGAGCTTCACTAAAGCTCCTGGAATATTGTCTCTGATACCCAATTTCTTAACAAAAACACTAGTAAGTGTGTCCTGGTTTCAGCTGGGATAGAGCTAATTGTCTTCCTAGTAGCTGGTACAGTGCTATGTTTTGAGTTCAGTATGTGAAGAATATTGATAACACTGATGTTTTCAGTTGTTGCTAAGTAATGTTTAGTCTGAAGTCAAGGATTTTTCAGCTTCTGATGCCCAGCCAGTGAGAAAGCTGGAGGGGCACAAGAAGTTGGCACAGGACACAGCCAGGGCACCTGACCCAAACTGGCCAACGGGGTATTCCATACCATGGGACGTCACATCCAGTATAGGAACTGGGGGGGGCAGGGGGGGAGATCGCCGCTTGGGGGATTAACTGGGCATCAATCGGTGGGTGGTGAGCAACTGCACTGTGCATCATTTGTGTATTCCAATCCTTTTATCATTACTGCTGTCACTTTATTAGTGTTATCATCATTATTAGTTTCTTCTTTTTATATTCTATTAAACCATTATTATCTGAACCCGCAAGTTTTACTTCTTTTCCCGATTTTCTCCCCCATCCCACTGGGTGGGGGGGGGGGGGAGTGAGTGAGCAGCTGTGTGGTGCTTAGTTGCTGGCTGGGGTTAAACCATGACAAAGTGGTTTCACAGATGAAAGGTCCTTTTTTTCTATAAATGAAGACTGAACTACCAAAACACAGGGATGAGTATTCTAGGACCAACACATTCACATAATGTAAACCAGTAATGATGGTCCTTAAACATCAGATCTTTTTCATGCCAACTTTAGCACCATTTTTCCCTTCTATATGGAGGTCTCCTCCTATCCCCCCCCAATTCCATATACTACAGTTAATAAATAAGGTAGAAGGAAGAAGTCTCCAAAACTGTAAAAAGAAGAGTTGAACTCCACTTGCAGTATATAATGCAGCCCTTAGCCAGCTATCTTTGCTTAAAATCTATCAAGCTTCTTTATGAGGCAACTGGACAGAAGAAGTATGCCAAGCTTTTATTATTGCTCTCTCTCTTCTATTTGACAGCCTTTATAAGTGAAAAGGAGGCTGGGCATATGTTTTTCCAGTATTTTTCCATAACCAGTCCAAAGGGTCTCTTGCAGTATAACAGTCTTTGAGTTGTTTTGTTTGTTTGGGTTTTTTGGTGGGTTTTTTTAATGCCCTACACAATCCTGTATTTTTTTACAAAGGCATTTGACCCTTTTTGCATTTATCAAAGTATTTTCTGATTGGCTCATCCATTTCAATACAGTGCCTCAGAGAGCATCTATCATGACTTTTGTTTCGAGGATACAATTCCACTCCTGTCAGTCTACACAGATGATGATATTAAAACAAAAACCTGCTAAGATCAGCTGCAAAAAATACTTGATGAAACCTGTCTTCACTTCTTTTTAATGTGAGAGTTAACTAGCATCAAAGTTACTTTTAGGGACTTCCCAATTTACTTACTTTGATCCTAGTACACCTGTAAGGGACTGGAGAGCAAAAATTTACTCAAAGAGCAGAAGCACCAACCAATCTCAATTTATTATACCAGCCTCTCCCAACCTGTTATTTTTTCACTCTCCTTTCTTACCTCTGTTTTCAAGTGAACTGCTGTTACAGCATGTTCTCATTCTCGCTATCTACAACCTTTCTTCCAGATTATTTTCTATGAAGATGGTGTTTTGTGAAGATTAACATAAAGTCTTGAATGTACCTTAGGCTGCAATTACAGGCTGTAATTTAATTAAATTGTTTTCTTTTTCTTAGTCTAAGACAGGTATGTGTAATACCTGTATCTACAAGATGATGATCAGAACTCTAGCCTTCTTTAATACTTGGCTCCTTTCCTTCAAAACTGTACAATGTTAAAATCACATCTTTGAATTTTAGTGAATAGAGAGGTAAAAGAAATCTATGTTCTCTGTCTATAGGCGGCATTCTTGTTTCTAGCTGTAGCTGTAGAACGAATTGGAAGGTATTGTCTGAAGTTGTAAATTCTTGAACTCTGAAAAGCATCAACTGAAATTCAGAAAAGGAAGTCGTCTTCTATGTGCTCTCTTGACACATGCATTTTTTTGAATGCTTTGAATACTAGCAGTTCTGGAAACTAGTAATTCTGAATATCCAACTGTAACAAAAAGAGCTTTGAAACAGGAAGAATATACAAGCTTTTTCTTTGCTAAATATAAAGTGTGACAACACAGAACCTCAATGTTTATAAAAATACATCTAAGTTTTGGATCAGTCATGACTGCTGCTTGAAGTAGGCAGAAGGGCATTTCTTAACAGCTCTTAGTTATTACTCTAGATATTGCTACACGTTCATGAATAGCTGGGCCATCTTTTTTTTTCCAGATATTGGCATAATAGGCATATTCTAGCTATGCTTTAATAGAAATAGAACAGCAAAATAGAATAAGAAAAAGAGAGACAATGGAAAATCCAATACTTAACATCTCCTACTGATATAAAATGGAAAAATTTATACACAATTTAATAACTGTCTTTAGAGATAAGTAAGAAAACTTTTCTCGTTTTTTTAATATACATTTCAGGAAAAGAAAAGTATGAAAACGAGTACTGAAAACATTTATCACCTCCAATACAAAAGCATCCTTCTTCCCATGTGAAAGGTCTAGCTCTGTAACTTCATCAGAGCTTTCTGACTGAGATCTTAATAACCTGGAACGTTGTCTTGGCTCTGGAATGGGAGACCCAATGATTTCTTCAGGTAGCTCCTAAAAACGACATAAAAATTAACAGTTGTTCTATGTAGCTTAGAAATAATTTCAATTATAAGCAATTTGTTAAGAGTTCTGAGAATCAAAACAGTCTGAAAATAATTTTACTGAGAAATAAATCTAAATAAGTACAAACTGATTGGGATATGTGGCTTAAGAGATCTGAATATTCCAGTAGGTTCCCAAAATATAGTGAGAAGAATCTATGTATCTATTAAAAAACAACTTATGTTCTGAATGATTCAGTCATTAAGAATTCATGGATATACATGGTATATATCTGTTTGACTCAGAACACTTTATTTTTAAGAATATAAAAGCTTTACTTACTGGAGGATTAATCTCATAAAGTTCCTTGTTTTTTGCTATCGTATCATTTATTTTCTTTTGCATGTGAGATATATGCTGCTCATAGGTGCCATCATTTGGAGTCTTCCCAGCAATCTGAATACCACCAGGTGTTGGCAAAGCTGCTAGATACACACCTGTTGCAGACTTAAAAAGTCATTAAGAAAAATGACAATTACATAAGCATGTACTTCCAATATTTTCATATAAAATGTTCCATAATGCTTATGCTATAATGGACAGCATTATGATGTGCACATTACAGCATGATCTCTTCCCATAATAAATGGGTATCTCTCTCCTGTTCACTTATGAAAAAAAAGCACCATTCTTTTAATAAACTCTCTCCTTCTCATGGGTCTTTTCCATGGTGGAGCTCTTAACTTACCTAAAAGTTCCAAACAAAGTATGAATTAAAACCTCTGTCCTAGTATATTTTGTATAGGCAAGTGATGGTTGCAAGGACTTAAAACTTGGCCAAACCATTTACAGTATCAGTGAAGTTGTGACAATCCCATTTCTATTTACAGAAAACAGATCATCAGTTCAGATAAAAGAACATGTAAGCCAGTCAATATTACCCAAGCATCCTCTTAAGGTGATGCAGGAAGAAGCAGCATACTTCCAACTACTCTAACCCCACGTGACAGAATGAGATTAGAAAATACTGTTAATGAACGTTTCTTGACTATCTCTAAGAAACTTCCAATCTATCATTTATTTCTTCAGTGCCATCAAAGAAGAGGTAACAAACCTCTTGTTGGTAGCTAACCAAAAGATTTACTGAGATACTTGATTAACCTTATTTGTCATGGAACTGTAATGTAACTGAGGAACAGGGATCTCTTTGACAGGAGCTTTAAAGAACACAATCATTTTTCTGTGATTTATGCCATTAAACCATTTAAAATTTCTTTTCCTCTCATCCCCTTTCTAATAATCTTGTCCTCTAACAGAGTTTCAAGAAATTCGAATCTTCTTTTTCTGGTGCTGAAAGACAGTCTGTCCTGATTTGTCAACAATTAGACACCTCGTTCCTTTGCATCACTTCATTTATTCTTAAAATGACATTTTAAAATTTCTAGTTACTCTAAATTCCACAACACTTGTATGTCTTTGTGTCCTGAAAAAATACTGTAAGAAAGCAAAAGAATCCCAAGATTAAAACGGTACTTACTGCCAATCCCATTAGCATATTTTCACCCACAGTGATCTGAATTCTCAGCCCAAACAGAGCATTCATCCCTCTCAGCTTAAGTTTATTCATCAGTTGGGTGTGCACTTCATATTCCATAAATGGCAAGAGATTACTGATAGATGTTGCATTTGCTTCAGCTTGAGCTTTCTTCTTTAGTCGGCATAACCTAACAACACAAAACAGTACATGACATCAGCAGATAAACAGTTTTAATGGACTGTTGAAATTTGAAAGCAATCACAGGCTATTTTGAATTTTTTTCCCCTCATTGTATAACCTAATACAATCAGTTTCTTTTTAACTTATTTTAGAACCCTGTAAAATATTAAATTCTCATCAGGAAGATCAAGGCAGACTGAGACACTGAGTCTCCGTAAGTAACACTTTATTTTCATTTTTAATAGGAATCTGTGTATTTATATTAAAAATAAAAATAGGTAACATAAAAAGTAAATTTATAAAACAGAACAATACATAACCTTCAGCAACATTCAAAAATATTCCCTATCAAAGCAGAACACAAAAATTACAAATATTGTATCTTTGTAAAGCACTGAATGAAGTCATGGCTCCTTTCTTAAAACACGCTTAAGGACTTATCAGAAACAACATGCATCACACAGGCTCTCTGTCATAATAGTCTGATAGCACCTAATAACTATGCAAGGTAAATAAGTTTTCTACAGATTCCAGATAACCATCTACTAGCTATTCTGCTAAATATATTAACACTCCTATCAAATAGCAGTGACTGTTAAAAATTTGCCCTGCTCACTTTTGTCAAAGCAAATCCTGAAGACAGACACAACTTTTTTGCTATTGCAAGTTGTCTGGTATTTGTTAAACATCTCCCCCCCCCTCCCCGCCCTAGATTATTTCAAGGGACAGTTACTGCAGCCCTCTTCAATTAAGCCTCAGAACTGATGAGGTGCATTCTTCTAGATTGCTGCAACTGTAAAATAAAATGTCAGTTCTTTAAAAGAACTACTTGAGACTGTCTTATCTGAAAATTTGTATTTTCAGCTTTTCTTCTAGTAAGACCTCAAATGCAAACAGCTATTTCTGTTGCTGCAGACCTCTTAAACACTTCAGGTACAACCATAGGAAATTACATCTACTGGTAGAACTTCTAAAATTCCTATTAATACAGTTATTCAAGGCACACTTCGGAATAAATAAAAAAGTGAGTGCCCTCACAGCTCAACCAATTAATCAGGCTAAAAATACCTATTTTAAAACAATAAAAGAAAGAACATAGAAATTCCATCTCTGACTATATTACGTTACGTCATATTCCACGCTTTGGGTTTAGTCCCATAAGATGAAATTCAAACCCCACAGCACTGTAATGACTGCCTACTTTCAGTGACAAATTTTTGTTCAAAAAGAGCACAACTGTATGTTTTAATGATAGGAACAGACAATACTTTCTTCTAAAGACCACATTTATTACATCATACAGGAAACAGTAATTTAACCAATCATATCAAGTTCACCTCAAAATCTTTCTAACTATAGCTTCAAGTCTTTTTCTTTCTTCTTTTTTGGGGGGTGGGAGTGTTTGAGGAATCACTCTAGAGAAAATGGGAGACCTGCAAGTGTGCAGAGACAGACCAGGGACCTCCGTGTGACACAAAGTCAATTTCCACAATGGCGCTAAACACAGAGCTTAGTAATACGGAAAATACCAAAGGAGGAGCACAGAACACATCTCTACAGTAGCTCAAGTAACTCTGCTGTAGCAGAAGTCAGAGAATGATAATCATAGTATCATAAAAAGAACTCAGGTAAGAAAGGTCTTCAGGTAGTCTTCAGTCCAACCTCCTGTAGAGACAAAGCAAGGTCATCTCTAAGCTCAGAGTAGGATACTCAGACCTTTATCCAGTCAGGTCTTGAAAATTCCCCAAAGATGGAGACTGCACAGCCTCCTAGACAAGCTGCTCCACTGCCTGACTGTCCTCACTGGTAAGTAGTTTTTCCTTACATCCACGCTGAATCTCTCTTGCTTCAACTCAGGCCTATTGTGTGTCACTCTCCCACTGTGCAGCACTGTGAAGACCCTGGCTACACATGCTCCATAACCTCCTTATAGGTACTGGCAGGCTGCTATCAGGTCCCCCTGAATCCTTCCTCTCTCCAGCACCCGCAGCTCCTCTTCATAGGGCCGGTGCTCCTTACTCCCTTGGTGGCCCTCCACTGAACTTGCTCTAGTTTTCTGGTGTCCATCTTACTCTCAGAGGAGGACAGAACTGGACACGGATCATACTGTCTGGTCCCACTCATTGTGGTGTAACTGGCAAACTTGAACAGAATGCAGACCATCATTCCCTTCATGTCATCAAGATATTCAACAGGACAGATCCCACTGCAGACTGTATTATACTTGTCACAGCCATCCAGGTAGGTTACAAACCATAAACCACTACCCTCTCAGCCCTACCATCCAACCAGGTATTTATCCATGTAGTTGACCACCCATACAAACTGTACATAGCTAAGCCTTCCTTCTTTCCCACTGTAAACCACCTTATTCCCTTTTCCAAATTCAAATTCAAAGACCACAACATAAACTGGACACAATTCTACAGAGATAATGTTCAGTTACAGACATCAGCACAGAATTAACACAACTGACTTAAACAGTTCATTGAGTTTCCAGTGCAATAGCTGTACCTGACCACGTCAGCAGTCCCAAACAGTAAGTTAAAACATGAAAACTCTTACATCCAGGCAGACAAAATACAGCAATTCCCACATGCATTTAAAAAAAAAAAAAGGCAGAACGTTTACCAAATGCCCATCAACATGGGTAAGTTACCAGATGTCCATCAACAGACAAGACACGTAACAGAGGGGGAAGAGAAGGCTGTCATCCTCCTGTACCCTAATACACTGTCATTAACTCCTAGCAATTCACCATAAAAATTTAAGGTTTGATGACATACTGGATTTTAGCAACAGGAACTCTTTCAAAGATCTCCAAAACTTTACTAAGAAAACATTTTGATAGATACCTGGCTTGAATAAGACATCCCTTCCCAATAACTACTGCCTCTACAGGAAGATCAATTGTGGTGAAAAGGACATCAGGAACTTTTTGCTTCCTGCAGTTGTAACAATAAGTGAGGTGAGCAGGGAATGGCATGTTCAATTCATCATATGGTATATGGCAAAATCCACAACCTGGTGGTGAAGCTTCTTCAATCCTAAAAATACATTATGGAGAATATACTTAAAACATCTGCATCTTATTAACAATGATCAATACGCGCACATTTGTATAAACACCTACAGATAGCTACTTAAATCATACACTGCAGCTATACTCTGCTTCATTATACCAATGAGACAAGTATTGCATTTTATTAATTAGAAGAATAAAATTAGGCTGCACACTACTAGCTAAAACGCTATAAATAAAACTTGCATTGAAACTTGTTATGCAGGGATCAAGAAAAAGTACATACAATGACCAACAATTTATATAAACCTAAAACATTACTGAGCTGGCTTTAGGCACTATGATTTCTAAATGTAGTCCATGGTACAACAGTTGTACAGGGAATTTGCTGTACCAAATACAATGAAAAGCCTCTTTTACATGGGTTGTGTCCAAAAACCTACACAAACCTAATGAGCAGAACATGAACAACAAACCAACCATCCTACCGAGAAGCAGCACAATATATATAAACATTGTAAGAAGAATAGCAAGATTATTTCCTAAGATAAGGTATTAGGTAAAACTTGTTATTCACTTAGAACACTTAGTCCCATTCCCCCATAAGAAATACCCAGGAATAACCACTCTAAAAATATGAACAGGGAAAGCACAGGCTAACTGCATCACCGCAAATTTATTCTGTTTCACATAAACAATTCTTCCCAGTGAATTTTGAAGAGATGCCTAAGCAAATCTGACAGATTTAGAACATTAGTTATCATAGATTTTGGCAAATGTATTGTCTCAAACATAGGCTTTGTCCGTTTAGTTGTTTTACCTTCCTTTGGCATTTCCCATCTATGCCAAGACTCTTAGTAGCACCCAAATACATATTTTGATAAAAATGCAATTTTCTTCATATTATGAACATGACATTTCTTTCTCTCCATCATATAGTGAATACGGAAACAAATTATTTTTGTTCTGGCTACAGTTTTCAAAAGTCTATCTACACAAGAAGATAATGGCCTCCTGCTAACAAAGTAAAAGAATAATAAATAATACTATGATGGCAGGGTTATTATGGAAAAAGTAAAGCAAGTGCTAAGGTGTAATAAATAGCCTTACTTACTACTACAATAACCCCCTGAAATATTTGATGACTATCCTGACAAACACGTAATAAATTACCAATATGCATTAGTTAATCTAATTATCTTTTCCTAAAAATAACTGTTTGTCAATACTCATTTTTCAGATTTTATTTGCAAGAGCAGAAACAAAGGGAAACTTCATGTTTTTCCTTCTGTTTCATGATTTTGTTCATAAACTTCAACTAAAACATATATCTTTTGTAAAAATCTGGCACTATCTTTGTTTTACAACCAAGCTATTTTATCTCCCATACAGCTCTTAAATAGTATATAGAGAGCATATATACACATATTACAACCACAGCAGTTTTTGGCTTATGTAATTTATCACACATCTGTCATTTTTTATAGTGTGATACAAAGTTGAGAAAGATACCTGAGGAGCGGCAAAGGAAAAAAAAAACTGAGTTATGATCTGTGGTTAGTAGTCAAATGTGTTACCTTATTCAGACTGTTAGAAATAAAAACAGAATATCTAATTTGGTGCAGAGTTCCATTACTTCTGTTGTTGTTGTTGTTAGTGAAAAGCAGTAAAGTGGTTGGTCCCGCATCCTGCACTGTAACACTGTAACCTACCCTAATAGAGAAGAACTATCTTGGCTCTGAGGAAAAAAATCAACCTCTCCCTTCTCTGACCCTATGGAAAAGAAGCCAGGCTGCCATGACAACCTTTGTTCCAAACAGCCTTCCATGGTGCCATCCTGAAGAAACCTAGGGTTCAGTACAGCTGCTGTGCCAGACGCGGACAAAATACAGACCTCTTCACTATAAGAGAAAAGAATTACAACAAAGTGAATTCCTACTACTTAGTGCTACTTTTGCTTAAAACTATTAGATTAAAAGGCTGGTACAAAAGTCTCAATAAATTCAATGTAACTACTAATTTTGTATATTTGTACAATTTTATCCGTTAAATCTCACAAACAATCCTCTTCTGATATTTAAACCATTGTATAAAGTAAGAGATGCAGAAGGATTGAACAGAAAGACTAAAGAGCTATGCCCTATGTTATAAATAATATGCTGTAACATCACAAAGGCTAACCAGGTTTAAGTATGGTTTTCAATACTATGGTTAATAATGCAAAAGAAATCCAGCCAACCAACAAAAGCAAACAAACATTTAAAAAACAAAACAAAACAAGGCATAATTGTTTACCAAAGTAAAATGGAAGTTGAGAGTCTCATCATCTTACAAACACTCACTCTCAAAATGAAGTTACAACACAACACTTACAAGGGTGCTTCTTGGAGGATAAAAAGTAGCAAAACAGTAATAATTTGACTATGAACAACTACAAATAATAGTACATATAGCATATAAAGTAACTGACCATATTCATGATTTAGCAGTTAAAGCTCTCAGAAATGCAAATTATGATCATAGAGCTTTTAGTATTTCTGAAATTGTTAAATAAGAAACAAATCTCTTAACATCCAGTACTTAAAATACTCTATTGGAAAAAATACAGAGAAAAGCTTTCCCACATTTTCTAGAATGATACATATGCCCATATGCCTTTTTCATTTGTTGTTTCTCTTTCCAGAATAATTTTTCATATCTATCATGTCTGGCAGACCAGTACTTACAGACAGAGCCTTGCCCTTTAAGAATGGAATGAAGCTGAACTGGCAAGTAAGCATGGGAAATCTAAATTCTATCAATGATCAAATACTATTACATTAAACTCTTTAAGAAAAATGAAAGTGTGAAATAACCCAGTAACTGACTGCCTGTCTATACTCTGTATATTCTTTCCTCATAGTTAAAGTAGAAAAAAAAGAATACAAAATATTAATGCTTCTTACAAGGAGACTGACAGCTGAAGGAATAAATTTTCCATTTTTTAATGCAAGTTCATCCCTCAGCAATGGAAACTTGCACATTGCAATTCTGAAGTAAATATGGTCTTTAATACACCAAGCAAGACAGGACATAACCAGCCAAGACAGCATAAGGAATACAAACCATGCCCTGTCTGTAAAGTAAGTTCTCCTGTTTTCCTACTCTACTAGCACAAGCACCTGACTTCCAAGAATTGTTTTCAAGTTTTGTGAAAGAGCAATATATTTGGTGGTGGTGTTTTTTACCAGCAGTGAAGCAATAAATGTGAAGGAGCAACAGATGTCAAGCAATCAACGCTGTGGCTTTCAGACTGATCATTTCTGATTATCTTACTACTTTACTTTACCAACAGATGGTGTGCACTCATGAAAGCACTGTATAACTCTGTATTTCTTTCTTCAACTTATCAATTGCTAAGTAAAATGAAAGTTCTGTTTCCAACTTCTCTCTTTAACAAAGCAAAGCTTTAGCACTTTTTCTTTAAAGTATTTAGGCAAAACCAGCTTGACAGAAAATAAATTCAGATGTCTGAGTTTGCTTCAGTTACCTTCCTAAATCATTTCAAAACAACTAGCGAGCCAGAGTACTTTTCTGTTTGATACCAGTCAGACACACGTGGCCCCAGGAGGAGCTCTTCATAGATGCCCTTCTGGAGCTAGAAAGAGATACAACCTTTCCTGGGCCAGAGAGAAACGAGTAATTAGATGAATCCCAAACCATTTCTCCCAATCTCCAAGCCTCTCACAAAGTTTGTTATTAAGCCACCAAAATACACAAGATTGGAATTTTCTTAGCCAAATGGAATACAGTAAGACACTGGAGTTTTGACCTGAATAGGATGCAGGGCTGGGGAATTCAACCTCACAAAGACTACTGCAGAGCTGTGGTTTACTATGTTAAACACTACTGAAAGATAAAAATAATGACATGCATTTTCCAGAAAGAAATACAGAATTTTTACACCTAAAGTATTCTAGATCTATCAGGCAGCATATTCTCCTTTAACTCACAGTTAATTCATTCCTAGTAAAGAACTTGTGCCTTAAGTTTGAAGTTTACTGTTTAAGTACTGGTCTGCCAGTTGTTACCCAATAATGAAACTGCAGTACATATACTTCTAGGAAGAGTCTTAACTATTTAGGGAGATTAGGTTTAGAAAACTTCAGAGATAAATTAGTATTGTTACTACAAAAGGAAATATGTAGGTTTTAAATTTTTTTGTTAAATAAAAAGTGTAATGTTCATTAGAAAAAAAAAGATCTTAAAACCCAAACCAAAACATACTATAAAAAAAAAAAACCAAACCAAAATAAAACACACAAGACTGAAATCTCAGAAAGTTACTTTGACAAACTCTCCAAAGTAGATATACTAGACAGTACCAACAGCTGTGTTGAAACAGTTCATCATTTTTAATCCACTGAAGACGAAATAAATATTCTGTGGCATTTTGAAAATTAAATCATCATCATGATTTACCAAATGCTAGTTGATTCACTGTAGCCCACTACAGCATGACAACCCAATGCCTTGGCATGGGATTTTATTTCTTGTCTGATTTCTGCCCACCATGCATCTCGTGTCTCTGGTTCATCTGAAAGACAAAGTATAAATCAGTTCACTACTCTGCACTATGTCAACATAAAGCTTCATGCAATTAATCTGCAAAGTTGAATTTTTCATATTCAAGTGTTTTGCTGTATCTGGACACTTTTTATTTCCTAGCTATCACACTTCAAGCAAACGCTAACAGGGCTTTTTCATTAATTTTCTTGTTTATCACCCATGCGAACAGGTTCTGACAAATTACTGCATTCTTGTTGTTATCCATATGACAGATAACACCAAAATACTGTAGATACTGTTCCAATCTCTACCCACTTGAAGACCATACTGTCAGTTTCCAACAACATGAGAACAACATGTAACTTGCAACAAAGCATCACAGATACTCTGCAATATTGAAAAGCTAGTAATAATGAAACAGTATTTGTAGTAATAAAGTAACATTTTACTTCAGTATACACTTGCCATCTTTGAAATAACCTCAACAGTTTTTCCTACTGCAAGCAGTTCTCTCTGTTGACCAGATTTTTAAAATATTTGTTCAAGACCGTATCACTAGCCAAACACACCACTCTGTGGTCCTTATTTCAGACTTCTAACTTTGAGAACCCATAGGTGTTTGCAACTACTTCTACATTAACAACATTAAGAAGTACAAGATATATGCTGGCTATGTATTTGTCAATGTTCTTCTGCTTCAATATCCTCACAACCACACCTTTTTTCTCCACCCTCTCCCCCCAATAGATTGTAATTACCTTTACTGTCTTTCAGATTTTATGTTGAAACATATCCTACCTGTTTTTCTTGCATACTACATAAAAACTGAAAAAAAGAGTGCTACTAGAATAGGTTTATGCAATCCATTTATTTTAACTGCTCAGCAATTAGTTTCCCAGAACTAAAGCTCTTCTCGCAAGCTTTTTACATATGAAGTCAACAAGTATTGCCATTTACAATTAGAGTTTGTCAACTGTTTCTTCTTTCAAAATGGCTTACCTGTACCAATAAACTTAGTTGAAAACTACGTTAATTGTTGATACATAAAATAAGGGGAAAAACAATAACAAACAATATAGGCACTCAGATGCTACAAAGGGTTCTGAGTAGACAGATTCTTATACAATTTCCCCGAAATCAACTGAACTTTGCACAGATACAAACTTCTAGCCATTGAGATCTCCTTGCTGAATCATAATTTAGAATATCAATGTCAAAACCTGAGATTCATTGGGAACCAATTTTGTACTAATAGGGATATTTATAAATATAGTGTATGACAACCCTATATCATACACTAGGTTCTCTGACAACATGACAAACAAAAATGAAAGATGCAGATATACACAGATTTTGAAATTTACTGAAACAAAAATATTGTACGGCAAAATGTATTCATTCATGAATTTACCTCAACTTTTCGTTTAGAACTAGACTTTCAGCTTTCTAAAACGAACTTATGATCAAAAAAGAGCACAAAGGTATGTATATTCAACTATACCTAACTTCAGATGTTAACGCTTGTGTACTGACTAGCCTTGGGTATCCAGACTGAAGTTTATCCAACCTTTGCTTTAAGAAATGAACACTGAACAGAAAAAAATCCTACAGTTATAGTTCTTAGGAAGGTTCTACATAATCAAGACAAAAATATACACATCAAGACACAAAACAGGCTAAGGATTTTCATTGACTGTATCAATCATGTTCCATTACATCCGAGTTCACCTTCAACATGTTTCAATGCATTACTAGTAGAATCTCAAGGCACTGCACTTCGCTGTCTATCAAGGTGAAAACATCGTTTAAAACACTTTAACTAACTGGAAAATCAAATGCTCAAGATGACACACAGTAATCCTGACTCAGATGGTTGGAGTACCTGCTAGCAAAGTCTCACACTCTTCAGCTTTCAACAGCTGAGAATCATGCAGAAATAATCCATCACATTATAGGGTTGGAGTTCCCAAGCTCAGCTATGAGAACCATTTGTGGTACACATAAAGGAAAGTGGGAGGTGAAATGTCTTCTCTTTTGCGTGTGCATCTCTGTCTGAACAGAGGCTGTGATTGCTGCCACCAGGTAATGGCAGTAGTGGTACACGAACACAGCAACTTTGGAAATCCATCTTAAGGCAATGGCTACATGATCTGACAAAATGGGGAGCTGTATGGGAGATGCGAGACCACAAGCACGCTCTGTAAATGTTATCACTAACTCTGTATGGTGGAATGGACATGGATCTTGGGAACAATTCCTCCTTCCCCATCCAATCATGGACAAGATCACTTACCAATGTGCGTTTCTCTCTCTAACAGAAAAGTGTTTGTAAGAAAAGTGGTTCACTGACTATGCAGAACAATTCTTGCTCAATTAGACTTGATCACAGACAGCTGGCTATAAACACTGACTGAACAGCCACACAAATTTTTGTACTTCACAGAAAAACACCTACAAAGGAGAATTAATCTTTTTCCAGACATAAACAAAGACAAAAAAGCCAATTTTACTAAATCATCACTTTTCTCTTCACACCTTTAGGTACCATTTGGCAAAAACTGCTTCTACTTGTTATCAAAGACCTTTCTATGACAAGAAGTGCAAGAAAATGTGAAGTCATGATGAAGGAGCTGAAAGTGAGCAACAGGTAAAGCGACGGGGGATGAGCAGGGGAAGTGCTGTGGAATAAAGAATAAGATTACAAACAAGAATATGATACTGATAAGGTATGTAGCCACAGTAAAACTGAAACAGAATGAAATGCTGAAAGGGAACATATATGCTTAAAGGGAACAGAAAAGGTAGAAATAGTGACGGGTCCCAAACTCTATGCAAACTTTTAACTTTCCTCCACAAAAATTTATAGTTTAAATTAAAGTTTAGAAACATATACCTAAGAGCGTTAGCACAATTTTCTCACCTAACTTACCTACAAGAACGCCTTATCATAATGGAAAGCACATATTGTTGTTAGGTTGCTCAATGCTATGTCTTGCTAAAAAATATTTAACCCTTTACTCTGAAAATCTGTTCAACATCAGAATTAACAAAACTATTAACTACAGTAATATAATGGATCATTTTCATTCTTATTAGAGATAAGAACAATTTTCCAGCCATTGTCTTCAGTGTTAACAGGATCAGGCCCAATATCTTTCAAAAAAATCCAACAAATTCTTATTGCACAAGTTCAAAAATTTCTATACGAGTCATGCATAAACAAGTGTTTGTAAAGACGACTGGGTCCTCTGCTTAAGACATTTAAGTAAGTATTTTTTTCTTCCAGGAAGAGGCCAAAAATACGACAGTATGTTTATATATAAATACTGTACATTTAGTTTACTTGAACTTACCTTTGCATATTAAAACACAAAATGATTGTCTACAATTAAAATCAAACACCACGACATTGCAATAATAAATTGATACAAAACACTGAATGCAGTGCAATGTGTAGCATTCATATTCTTCTGACAAATATTTTCACAAGCAGCCTTTTTTGACACATGAGCCACACAATTTCACATGGGGATGCCATTGTAGCATTTACAAGTTTAGTAAAGCTAAGGATTTACATAAACAATTAGAGGAGTTAGGGAAGCAGGATGGCATGTGTCCAGTACACTCCATAAGAGTGTCTGTTGTTGTTTTTTGCTAAGGCAAAAGCTTAAGAACTAAGGGTTTGCAAAGCAGATTCAGCAGACAGTAGCCAGAAACGGTGGGTATTTTGGCGCATGCTTGGATCAGGTGACAGTACAGACTGAAAACTATGGCAGCTCACTGAAATGGTTACAGAAAGTAATGGCCCTGGATTCTAGGTGGAAGCAAAAAGGCAAGCATACATAGCACTCAATCACAAGCTTTTCTAGCAAATCTACCAAGTAGTTTATAGCAAGGTTTATCTACAACTTTAAGCAAAAAAATCTGCAAAAATTACACTGCTATTACGCACCCTTTATTGGAAACCAAAGACTGAATATTAAACCTACTTTTATTAATGTTTCAAAATTGGCATGATATTTATAACGAAGTGGAAGCAAAGCACACTGTTTCTAGAGCTGAAGACCTGAGAAACAATGTTGTCAACAGTACAGTATTCTATAAAAATCGTGCCAACTCAAACCTCCTCCAGCTGAAACTTTCCAAGCATTTTATTAAACAGCTTTAGAAGATACAAACAGCACTGTATTTATTTTGTGCCCTACATGTTTGAGTCAGTTCTACCCACCACCCATTCACCTATCTCTTTCCTTTAAAATACCAGGTTGACTTCTATGAGGCTGTATTGTCAATGGGACAACATCCTGTCCAAATCTTTCACCTGGAGACAACCCTGGACACTATCAATACTTTCTGATTCATAAGAAGCAACACCTCTCCAAAGTTATTTGCTAGAGGTTCACTTGTACAGGGCCTTTCAAGAATTAGCCAGAATCTGCATTATGCTAGGTCCATACAGATTTTTAAAAACTGAAGAAATATTAAGAAGAATGGACTCTTGATTACACAGATGATACTCAAGAGTTACTGTAATTAAAGCTGAATCCCTAGACATCCTGAGACAATTATTCTGAAACAGGAACTGTATGATTAATTTCAACCTATTTCAATATTGTATAATTCAGTAAATATTTACATTTATAATGCAACATTCTGAAATGAGGATGACAATCATACTATTAAAGTTTTCACAATCTAGAAATGACTCATTGTTCTGTTGTCTCCAAAATGGCAACGGAGGCATCAGTAATATTCTTTCAAATTCAATCTGAGTCTTTCACTAGGCAGAGCCATTATCCACACCTTCCTTACCCTCTTATTCTTTTATCTTCTTTATTAAAACCTATTAATCAGCTTATACAGAAAAAAGTTGGGGATTTTTTTTGTAGGTTTTTTTTTCAAGAGACACCTTTGTTAGGTTTACAAGCACCCTTCCCTGGACCCTGAAGTTTAATTTAATCCTCTCTGGTTATCCCATAAATATTGAAATTTCCCATCATCTTTCTAAAATATTTCATAAGGGAGTGT